AAAAAACGAAGAAGATGTTGGCTCAATGGAGAGAATAGATCGAGCCTTGGTCCAAACTAGATTCAATTGTGTCAGTTTAGCCCACAAACACAATCGAATTCTTTTAAACCTCATTTAAAGATCAAAGTGCTATTTCTTAGCGTTCAGCAATACTCTCTATAATCATGTGTGAACATCCAGGACCAAGAACATAAATTTAAAAAAAAAAAAAAAAATTGCCAAGAACTCGGGAAAAGGAAAAATTTACAGATGCTAATTTCTAACTTTCTAATTTATTTATCCACTGGGGATCATACATTAGAAGAAAACATGAAACTAGTGGCATAATCATGCACATGCAAATCAAAAATCCAAAATTTCGCCTACCAATGAATTTAAGTCTGATTCTAATGATCTGAATTTCTAGAAATCAAAACCCACAATAACAACATAAATTAACACACAAATTCAAGTTTAAGGAGACGAAATGTTGGATCGGTCTATCAAACTTAATGAGTTCAAGTATTCATCCTATCAACACAAGACAGTAACAGAGAAGAAATCGAGCAGTTTCTCATTGCATTGCAAATAAATTACATGAAATTGAAGGGGGAGGAGTATTCTACCTAAATTCCAGAATGAAATTACGAGCAATCGGAGAACTTGAAATTCCTCCTGCCGACTGCCTGAGGCACTCGGATTTCTCCTTTTTCCTCTACCGCCGGCTCTCCCCAAAAATCTCAGTTCTGAGATCGCAAAAGGCCTCCCCTAACTCTATCCAATCCCCTGCGGCTGCACCTGCGCCTGCTAGAGTGAAACGACGACGAATTTGAAGGGGCTGGATTTGTGCTTTGATCCACGAATTTCGTTTACCTATCTTTTTGGTCCTCTACTTCCTTCCTTATCACAATTGGGTCCGTGTAGGATGGAACTTTCATTTTAAATTTTTTCAATTGAGTACAAAATAGCATTAAGTCAAATTAATCTTGATTTCTCTAGGACATTTTTCATATTAATTTCCCATGCCACATTGTAGCTCAAATATTTTGTAATTTTTTTATTTAAAGAACTTAAAAACTTGTGAGGAATTTAAATTTTAGAGAAATCAAGATTTTTTTAATACATTTTGTAAAAATATTAAAATGGATTAAGAAAAATTTGAGTTATTATGAGAGGAAAGAAATTAGGTTAAATATTAATTTTGGTCTCTCAACTTTAAAGTTTTATATAATTTTCATTCCTTAATTTTTTTATACACTTATTTGGTCTTTTACCTATGAAAAATATACTTCTTTAGTTATTTTATCAGTTGGTGTATTAAATCTATCTAAATTTACATGTTTTTAATTCCTTAATTTTTAATATATGCATAATTTTTAAGTTAAGAGATTAAAAATATGCATATTTAGATAAATTTAACTGGACAAACTGACAAAAAAGATTAAAAAGTATATTTTTCATCATCAAGAAACCAAAAATATATAGAAAAAAGTTAAAAAATAAAAATTATATAAAATTTTAAAATTAAAGGACCAAAATTAACATTTAAACAATAAACTAAATATAAGAAAGAGAGTACCGACAGAGAAGAAAACTAACAATTATAATAAAACCTAGCCTACCTTCTATAGGCCTGGTATATTAGGCCCAGCAGAGGTGACCTAACTTGACTTGCTAATATAGATCGGGCCGTCGTTAGGTTGAGTCACAATTGGCCCAGACTTTTTGCACTTGTAATATGTCTTCAAGGAAAGGTCTGAAAAGCAAAATCTGAATTAGAATTTTCT